TTCAGCGTTCACACAAGTGAGCATACACGGGATTGATGGCTGAGATAATGAAAGAGAAAAAAATATAGTGCCATTCAAACTTGTGGATTGTTCATTTGGGTTTTGTGAAATGCGATAACAAATCGACAGGTTAATGATATCGATCGAATTGCACCATTCACCGTGAACACATTTGAATTTTCTTCACACCATTCCCCAAGTGGTTTCGTGTAAAATGGTTCAACAAATTTAACACACTTAGCAAGATTAGACTTCCTAATTACGTAATTTATGCCCATAATTCATACACTCCAAACACGGTTACCGCACAATGAATTATTATTAAGCTCATCTGATATTGAAAGCTAACAAACGACTCAATAATGTCGTTAATGTGCTATCGCTTTTGCTGCCCCTGTTGCAACCATTCTCGTGAATCCGCAACACATTATAATGCGCCATAAAATATGTTTTCAATCTAATTTGTCAAATTAACACATTGTATTGGTGAAACACAAAATTGTACGAAAAATGCATTAAAATACATTCGATTTTGATTGAAATGAATTCTGCCGGTTTTAATTAAATGCGATTTATTTTGCAATCGACTTATGTCGATTCATTTGCTCAACACAACAATGAACACATTCATGCGATTTCCATCCAGATGCAGTCAGACTTTGTTCTCATTGTTTCGGTAAAGTGAATACAAAATTGTTGGTAGTGTAGAAATAAGATTGAATTTCAAGATATATCGATTGTTAGTTGTACATTTGGATGCACGATCCGACAGCAAAAACCAAAGGGATATTGCAACTTTTTTGACCAGAAAAAACGCCATCTTACGTCGTGCCCGTAAATTATTTTACTGTACATTTCGATGGTAGAGCTTGAACAAAAGTTCAACACTATGCATAAACTTGGAAAGAGCTTGATAAACTTGATGAAATACATATATTTTATGGTAGTTGAAATACCCCTATGGCAAAAACCAAAAATACATTGATTCATATGGACACTGAATATACAGAATGTGACAAGAGCGAAACTAGTGAAAATATTCATGAACTAACATGTAATCACAAAGTTTCTATCTTAATTGCATTGAAGAACACAAAAGCAACGCCTGAAAGTAGTCAAAATTGCAAGTTTCAATCATTTAAACATGAATGAACATGTAAAGTACGGACACATTTCTGTGACGTAAAAAGTCTCATGCTATCGGATCGTGGATGATTATTCCATGAATTAAGTTCGATTGATGGTCGAACAATATACAGTATTCAATGAATATATGAATACTATTCATATATTCCGATTGCAACAAATTACCAATCCACACCGGTTTCCGGAGTTTAACTTGAATCACTTCAGCAAGTGTTGAACAACGATTCATTTACCTAATTGGAACAGTTTATACAAGCAACATTCAATTTCAATTATTTCAATGCAGTTTCTCGTTAGAAAAATTATGAGAAACAACTTTATTTTTCCGTGAAGAATTCTCTTCCTTTTCGTTGTTTCCTTTAAAGCACATTTTCTTCAAACACAAAATGTAGATGTATCATGAATGTCAAAATAATCGGACAAATTCTCGAATTTTTATGAATTTTTTCCTGTTTTAATCCATCCATTCGCAGTTCTTCCATAATAATTCTGTATAACAATTCACACAGCATTCGAACACGATGTCAACGGAATGTCAAATGCTTACATTTTTCTTATAAAAGCATAAATACGAATGCATTCGTATAACATTCGAAATTTTGTATGAGACTTGAATGCATTCGCGAGAAATAAATAGCACAAACTGTATTTAAAAACACCATTCTCATCATTTTCCATCATCAATATTTTTTAGCTCAATTTACTAGTTAAGCTTTCATACACAGAGGTTGTAATTTAAAATTAAATTTAAAAAAAAAACCTTTAAACTATTACATAACTCACTTCATTGTCATTATTGAAAATTGTCATGCAAACATAACTTTGTACACACGGTGGCCAAATTGAAATGCTTTTAATATAAATTCATTATTGACACATTTGAAACAATGTGCTCAAAATAACCGATGTTTATTGCATAATATGCAAATGGAACAAACCACGAACAAAAGGTTTGATTAAATTATCCAAACTTGGACGTGTGACAATAGATGCATTCAATCAATTTGAAGCCTCATACAATTTATTTATTGATGTTCGTTAAATTGAAAATTTTCATAAAAAGCTAAATATATATTTTGAGCACGAGTTCATTAACCGTGTAGCATTGTTGCATAATCCTTTGGAACAACCGATAAACCGTACAGACAAAAAAGGGCCGTGGAAAATGTTACCACCATTTTATAAAAATGCTAACAAACCAACCAGATGGAGAGAAACACGCAATTCCTCTATTCGGCCAAATGGAAAAGTCGGAAAAAAATAGCATAGGAAAATAACAACATACGCGACAGGAATATTTAAATACGAACACAAAATGGTCCCATTTTTTGTGTCCGCTTCGCAACCATGTTTTGTTTCAAGTTTGAAATTCAGACGCGTTGCAATGTCCTACATCTGTTGTTAAGTACCGTTTGGTTTGGATCGTAGTCGGGATGTCGATCTCAAAATCACCTTTTCATTGAGAGTTTAATGGATTTTACATCCATATTTTGCATTGTTACGACTTAAAGCCGCTTTCAATATAAGCCAAGTCGATTTAACTTACATTTGTCCACACACCCAGAAAGAAAGAAAAAAAGGCCATTCAGAGAAAATCCGAAAATCATCGAGAAAACAATAAGGCAACCTGTTTTGAGGGCCAAATCGCTTTTAACTACGACACAAAATCGGCTTGTCTACTAGGCTATGGAGCTTTATGGATTCGAACAGCTTCCATTTCACCATGATGCGCCATCAACAATGAATAATTCTCTATTAAATGAATATTGATAAGAAATTCAATGCATTTTCTCTCGACCATTTTGTAGTTATGCAAATAATATGAACGGATAAAGATGTATGCTAGATTGAAGAGCACACCATCGAATGTGGAACATAACCCACATTTAATATGAAACAACGATGGAAAAAAATGGCCATCAACAACAAAACCACACAAGCGATTATTTTAAATAACATTTCATTGGGAGTGTGTATAGCATTTTTTTTCTGGTTTGCCTTCGATTTGGTACTGCTGTGGCAAAATATGAAAACAATCAAACAACCCATGCGCATGAATTATGGATGATAATTTATGATTTATCAACGAGTTTATTCTTTTCATACATATATATTTGAATATTTCATGCTCTGAATTTTCGTAAAGTGTCTAGACGTGCTCATTACATGACATAGAGAAGTTCATGATGTGGAATTAATTATTTACACATTTTTATCTGGTTCATTCACAACATTGGTTTTTGCAATGAAACAACATTTTCGGAAATTAAGAATGATTTCAGCATGTTCATTTGATTCGAACAGAATATTCTGCGACTAAAAAGCAGTTTGTGTCAGAGCATTTAACTAAGAAAAAAAACTCCGAATAATTAATCCCATTCTCGTTCATTTTTAGACAGTATGTGCTTGAGCACTTATGGTCAGTAAAAAGGTTAATCAAGGATAAAACGAATTAATGACAGGTAATTTATAAAATGCTGAAAATGGTATGTGGCACATACGAATGATTCGTTGAATTGGGCCAAGTGGTCATTAGGTTAATGGAAAAAAAAATGGTATGCTTTATTGTGTGATAGTATCAATGATGCTTGGATATGAAAATTAAAAAAAAAATCTTCGAACAATCGAAATTTTGTTGCCACCTCATCTCTAATGTTCAAAAAACTTTGTTTTCCTTCCACTCAGTTTTTGTTTTATCGCCATTAACGCCTCTCCCCATTTCTTTCGGGTGTGCAAAAATGCTTCCATGGAAAATTGAACAGTTTTGTCTGTTGTTTGTAGCTCATTCCATCGAATACACGGTGGGGATTCGACACTTGGCACAACAACCCACATCTTATCAATATAATGATTGTGATTGATGATTTGTATTAGATGCACAACGTTCACGAGACATGTTTGATTTGCGGTCTAACAATAGTGTGATAAGCGCATCATTTATCATCACTTGAGGTAGGTTGTGGTATCTTGAGTTGTGTAATATTTCAATAAAGTTACGTAGATATTTGTATTTTTTGTTTAGATGTTAACAGTGTGACCCTGAAGAAAATATCATCATATCTTCTCTACAGACATGTTCAGTGGGTGTTTTTTAGGCTGAAATACAACGAAAATCCACCGATACATCCAAAAAACAGAAACAGTGCTAAAAATGCTGTAAGCTTTATCTTATGCTTTCTTTGATGACAATGCTTGAATAGAGTGTACTTATCATACTTTTGAATTGTAATTAAAGAAGAACTAAAAGACTTTCACTCGAGTGAAATATACTTTGAAATGTTTGTATGAGTAGAATTATTATGAGTGAACTATGATGGGTACGTTGACGGAGCCGCTAATGTATACATTTCTGTTGGACCAACACGTGCAATGCACGTCATGTAGTCGCAACGATGAGTTCCACTCAAATGATATATGACGAACGCGCGTTTTTATTATGTCATCAATTTAGGTTTGATTCTATTTTGTTTACTTCTGTGAAGCACGCGTCGTATTAGGTGTCAAGAGCCGGGTTCAGAATATCTATAAATTAAGAAAAATTATGTGACCTTGACAGTTTGACACTTGTTTCAACGATGGCTTTGGTCAATTTGCGTGATGGCAAGTTAAATTTGATTCAGCTTGCGTCAATATTCACGAACAGTTTGCGCCGTTTAGCTTGAGTATGAATCGAAAGAATGAGTAAAGCTGGTGAGATTGGAATTTGGGTTTGCACTCCATTGATTTAGTGTCTATGTAATACAGTCGAATTCCAATATATCATCAATATTCAGTCACCAGTACTACTATTTTATTGTTGTAATGAAGAAATGAGGGAAACACTTCTAGTTTATATTTTATCACTTAATCTCCATTGTTTGTTTTTATAATAAATTATTTTATTAATAATACAGATTTTTTTGCAAAACATTCCATCGTGCTTTAGTATATAGGAATTTAAACTTTAATTGAACATACAATGTGTAACCTAAAATTTATCAGCACATGCCTACTGCTCGTGAGTATAATTTTATAGCGTTTGATTACGTTTTTTTCAATTTCTTGTTTGAATTTGATGTGAACACCAATGAAATGACAAATTTGATCGTTTTTATCGTCAAGAATAGACTCAATAAAACGAGCGTGAAAATAAATGCCCACACGTCCAAATTGTACAGTTTGTAAATCGGCAAGTCAACTGCGACACTTCTCAAATGTGGAGCGCCCTTATTCTTAGCCACATGCTTAACCCAGTGCATGCCAGTTTCCAGTGGAGACAACGGCTGATCACGGAATCTATCAGAAGTGATCTTCGCGTATTTGGCATAACTGAAAATTGTTATCAGAAAAAAAGTGTGAATGACGCCGAAGTAAAATTCGATTGCGTGATTCTCTTTATCTTATACCTTGGTTCACTGAGTACTTTTCTAATAGCCGTTGATATCTTATCTGCGGTTAGAGTTTCAATTGGAATTGAAATTCCAAACCCCTTCTGTTCAGCAAGGTACATGTTCAGGTGCTGATCAAAAAAGAATGGAATGCCGACCACGGGTTTGCCGAAATGAACGGCCTCTGAAATGACAAAAGTCGTTGATCTCAAGTCATTGGCATGAATTTTGAAATGCGTGCATTACCGGTTGTACTCAATAGACCACCATGAGTAACAAATAGTTTGATATTCTTGTGCGCCAAGATCGATTGCTGGTTGAACCAAGGCTCAACCAACACGTCGGACTCCTTGTGCGATGGAATCACGACATGCTCGTCACTTTTGATCAAAATTCGATGGTTCGGATACAAACTGAAGGCACCTGTGATCGCTTCCAACTGATCCTTGGGCAATTTCGTAATGAGTACATTCGAACCGAGAGAAATGAAAATCGCTCCGTTCTTAGCATCGTCCAAAAATGTTTGTATTTTCGGAGCCAGCGGTGCGATTTTTTTCTGAATTTGCATACCACCAACTTCAATCATATTTGGTGCATACGGCCGTGGTGTTCCGATTGTTGTGTGGGTGTTCAACAGCACCAATGACACGTTTCTTCTCATTTCTTCAAGCGATGGCCAATTTTTAGCTTCTGGAAATAACTGCTCCATCACTTTTTGCTGTTGTGGTATGTAGTAGTACGGCATTGCAATATCTTCAAACCAAAAGGTCAGCGAGTTGTACATGCGTTGCCAGAAGTTCATTCGATCGGTATAGTAGTTAATTGTATGTGGCACATATGATGCAAAATTTGGTGAACCGACCAAATCAGTCGTCCATTTCGAAGCGCCAAATGCAGACAGACCAATCACAGGAGCATTAAAATGTTGGCCAAAACCGAGCAAATGGTCATTTAAACAGATTTCTAACACAACCACATCAAAATGCTGCTTTGTTTTTATAAAATCTCGAAGATTCTGACTGGAAAGTGTCAAATTTACCAAGAGTTCTGCAGCTTCATAGTACTTTTTCATTACATCCCAGAAGTAAATATTATTGTATTCAATACCATTATTAGCTGCCCATGCTGTTGTGAAAAAAATCAAACATTTGAACTGAATCACTAGAAAAATGTTTGAAATATTATGAATATTTACTTTTTCGTGACACTTCCCAAAAGTTTTCCAGCATAATTTCACTGAAGTTTTCAATGGGTTTTTTCTCTTTGAAAGGGCTGATAACAGTCACTTGATGACCTTCTTTGGCCAGCCCCTTCATTAGGTTGCTTCCAATGTAGTAATGCGATTTTGAAGCCGTTGGAAGGATAGCCAGAATATTATAACCGAATACATTTTGATATGAGAAACACAAAATCAAAAACACGTGAACTATATTCATTTTGTATTTCCGATAAAAAAAAATCGACTGAACGGTATTTTGCGATCAACTGAATTCATTTGAAGTAAAAATAGGCGTTTATACCTTATATTTATCTCGATTCACGTGTTTTGCGAATGCTTTTTACACTCAAGGGAAAATTTAACACATTTAGACGGCTCATTCATCAATATTAGCAGAAAACATTTTCGAATGATAAGTGCTCGATTTGGCATGACTTAACCCATTTTCTACCAGCGTTCGATTTTTCGAACAAAGGCCATCCCTATTCATGTCTCGACCTAGAGATAGGCAAGAATAACAGACATATACTCAAAAAGCAAGTGTTGAACATTATTTTTCAAAATGTGTAAGTCCTCTGGGCCTATGTTCAGGAGGTAGTTAGGAAAGCCCAGGGTGCGTTTGGAGATAATAAAGAATCTCGGGCGAATGACCAATGTTCGAAGAATCGAACGAAAATTTTCCGGGCTTTTCTGGAAAACTACAAGACGAATTTTCCATCTGACATTTTTTTGCTTCAGATTTTCATGTCAAAATCACTCTAAATAGACTTACACAGTAAACACAATGATTCTAGAAATGTTGAGATTTGACACTTAACTTCGTTTTAGTACCGTTTGCTCTAGAAAAAGTTCAAAACTCTATAATAAATACATGCTTTGATTTTTGATTTAGTTCATTTTATTTTTATATTTTATTGAGTATGAGGTGTAAATAACAGGAAAAATCCCTTTTACAATTTATCACCTATAGTTTGTTTTTACAATTTGATAGTTACTTTGGTCAAAGCATTTAAACATTTCAGTTAAAATTAAAAAAGAAAATTATTGAATTCTCGAAAAATGAGTGAATAAGAAAAAAGTAAAGTAGACTGAAACTGGATACTGGAGATTTTGCATTGACGTTTCCGACTGTAAACATGACATCAATTCATATGCGTGTGCTGTCAAAGTCACTTTGTCATGCGTCATTCACATTAATGCTTTGACTGATTGTGGTGAACAGTGGTGAGATTGGAAACGCCATACATTTTATATACATTATTTGTTTGGGAATTATATTCATTTATTTTCTTTTATTGTTGATATTTGGGCTCTGCAAAGCCTAGGCTTCATCCACGATTTGTTTTTCAAAGAAATATTTCGAAAAATCGTGAGTTTGCACTGTCAACACTTGTGTGGTTTTTCATATGATTTTGAAGTCATCGAATATTGTCACCCGTTCACACATTCGATGAACTTGCTACACCAAGTGTTAGTATAGTTCATTGCTGACGTTTTCCAATCCACCATACGTATTTATATGTGTGTGTACATCAAAATGTCAAAGTTGTCAAGAATTCAACCAAGTTCGTCGTTCTTTAGAAAATAAATTCTATTTTTAATTGCATCTCTAAATTGCACTTTGCTCAGGCTCAAAATGTCAATGTCTGTAAATTTTCTATTATAGAGTAGTTGAGTTCGCATTGTTGGATTGCGATGTAGACCGTAGTCTGTTCTAGATGTGTGAGGATTGAAAAGCTGATGCAGCCTCCTAGATTGACGGTTCACTCTCATAATTGGCCTGTTGGTTCGGACCATATTCTGAACTTATTCTAGTACAAATGGTACTTGAATGGATTTTAGTGCCAAATTTCATATTGCGGTTCTAAAAGTTAGAACCATCGTGTTTACTGCGTATAGTTAATATTTTTAAATAAAGCATAACGGTTTTTGATTGATCAGTTTGTGAGCCTACAAAAATATGGTTTTCCGGAAAATCCATTTTCCGGAAAAACTGCAAACAAAAATTTTCCATATGACAGTTTTTTCGGAGTTTTCAGGTGAAAATTATGCTATATATTGGTTACTTATTTCGAACCCACTTTTGCACCTTGGTAGAAAATGGGTTAACAAAATTGTTAGAATGATTTAACAAAAATGAAGCTTTAGCTTTATCATCTATCGTGGTGTTTATAGTACTTCTATTAAAAATACTAGGCAGCATTTTTTGAACGAAAATAAACTGATGTAGACATTTCAAGAGGTGCTTTATTATGACAGGTGATATAATTTATTACCACTTCTGGGTGCCATTGAAACAATGAATTTTATTTTGATTTTAAGCCTGCTTCTTATCTTGGAAGCCCTTATCTTTATTTGTTTCAAAATTCGTCATTAGTAAAAAATACGGAATTGATGTGTATGTGGTAAAAGTCTGGTGTATTCATGCTTTTTTGGACTTGCACCGAAGACGAATGAGATTAAATATTTGATAGTTTTTATCAGGATCCAAACACACAATGCAAAAACATCAACAATAAATACCCACACATCCAAATTATACAGCTTATAGAAAAGCGATTCGACCGCAACACTTCTCAAGTGCAGAGCGCCTTTATTTTTAGCCACGTGTTTAACCCAAAACTTTCCTGTTTCTATCGGAGTTAACGATTGATCTCGAAAAAAATGGAATACTGACCAATGGCTTACCGAAATGAACGGCCTCTGAAATGTAAAAATTTATTCATTTCAAGTCATTGGCACGAATTTTGAAATGTGTGTATTATCAGTTGTACTCAATAGACCGCCATGAGTAACAAATAGTTTGATATTGCGCCATTCGATTGCTGGTTGAACCAAGGCTCAACCAACACATCGGACCCATTGTGCGATGGAATCACGATATGCTCGTCACATTTGATCAAAAATCGATGATTCGTATACAAACTGAAGGCACCTGTGTTCGCTTCCAACTGATCCTTGGGCAATTTCATAATAAGTACATTCGAACCGAGAGAAACGAAAATCGCTCCGTTGGTTGCTTCATCCAAAAATGTTTGTATTGTCGATGCCAATGGTTTGACTTCTTTTTCAATTTGCATGCCACCAACTTCAATCATATTCGGTGCGTATGGTCGCAGTGTAAAATCCATGAAATTGTCTTTGGTAAAATCTAATGACCATATAATCATATTAGTTATGAAAAAAAGCTAAACGATACTGTGAATCAGAACGTACTTTTTCGAGTTGCTTCCCAAATGGTTTCAATATAAACCTCCTCAGAAGCCAGGGTAGTATGGGATTTCGATGCCGAAGGAAAAATGCCCAAAATCTTATAACAATTCACATTTTGATGCAAAATGCACAATACTACGAACAATTACAAGAACTCCTTCGTATCCCATCTTCTTTTTTTAATGAATCAACGATTCAATTTATTTTTCAAACGAATGAGTTAATATACGGAGCTGTACTGAGTAAAGCCTTTGTAACGGCAGAATATGTACCGGAGCATAATCTTGTTCATCAAAGAGTGATAATTTTTCGCTTGTATTTACACAAGACTACCGATGCTTTGCGCATAGATTCTCATACACAGCGCCACATCTAATCAGACTTCTGACGGCTCGCCGCTGAGCGGTAATTTCAATTAAAAAAAAATGGATTGAGGACTAAAAAATGGTCTTCACTTTTTAAAATCGATTCTACCGGTGTAACGCTTTGATTATATAAAAGCCTTCTCAAGAATATTTAAAAAAACTCATTTTTTCAATTTTGATGGGTATGGATGGAATTTTCGAGAAATATGGGTAATCTGACCAAACAATTTCCAGCAGGTGTTATAACATTGAACACGTTCATTTTCCAATCACTCTAAACGCACGCACTCTTTCACTCTTGGTAAGATAAGGCACAACACATTTTTGCGGGATTAAATTTAAAATATTTTTTAAAAAAATTCTCAACGTGACTAGTCGAATTTACAAATGATGGTCTTATCGTTACTCATGTGCTACGATCATTTATCTTAGCCGTCAACAGTAGCCGCGAGTGATGAAAGCATCATAGTGCTGATATGTACACGCGATTTTTAAAGTTATTTCCTAAGAGGACATCTGGTATGAATGAAGTATCACTAGAAAGCCCCTAGTTCATAGACTCAGAAAATGCATTCAAATTTGGGAATCGACCAGCCGTCTCCGCAGCAATCCGTCACTTGAAATATTATGGGCTTTCAGTTGTTTTTTTATATAACGGATGTTAAAAGCGGAATTGAAAATTGGACCATCCCTGTGTTATGGTGATTTGAAAATTTCCACCAATGCTCCGTAATAATTTTTCAAAATTGATATCACAAGTTTTGTGTTCTCTTTCGGCACGAGAATTGACTTCAGCAAAGTTTTTTCATTTGATTGTTTACCTAGGGGCAAATCACTCAAAATAGTAATTGCAAAATTTAGCAGTAATTGCGCGAGAAAAAAGTAGTTGCGAAAGTAATTGTTGATCAGCAATTACTACATTTTTCTTGCAATTACCAATGCAATTACTTCTTTTTAATGCAATTACTTTTGAGTGATCTGCCCTTGTTTAGTCTTCGAAATTTCGAGAAACAAAATATTGATATTAATTTTTGATTTTGACTACTGATTATAATCAGAGTTAATAATTATTAATAAAAAAAAATGAGTTAGTATTTTCCACAAATCAAGCTTTCAAGCAAAAATGTCGAAAAATCAATTAATTTCTGTGCGATTAGAAATAACAATGCAACACAATTCGAATAGACATCACTTTGTTCATGTCAAATCAATTTTTTCTTTATATTGGTCATGGCAAAAGAAAAAAAGTACGATTTTCTCACACTCTCTGGAATTATTGCCAAAGCAACAAAAACATTGTAGAAGTCATTTTGTCCGAATTTGAATGTCTTTCTGCTTCCGTTATTAATTTTGTTTTGTATGATCAATTCGTGTGTTAAATTTATTTATGGTATTTTTTTAGGTTATTCAATTTTTGACTGATCTCAATTTAGCAAAAAAGTTCATGTGTCGATTTTTGTATTCTTTAAATTCGTGCTTTTCAGTACGAATTTCGCTACATCAATGATTCAGAAACGATTTATGTAAGGAAAAGAGCACTCAAAATGCAGTTTCTTATAAATCCTGTGTGTCTTTTAATTTTTTCATCAATTATTTAAAAATTAAACGCTAAAATTTTTGTTTCCCCCTTGAATTTGAAGCAATATTTTGAAATTACCCCCTGTTATTTTCCGTCTTTGTAGAATTACCCCTCTCATTTTTTTCAGAATTACCCCCCAAATTTTTGTCACTTTTCTGAACATTAGGGGGTACCTCCTAAAATCCAGAAATGTGAAATGTCATTTTTCTGTATTTTGAGAACGATCTTGTAGTTTCGCTCAAAGTTTATTTATAATCGAATGTTATCTCTATTCCTTATACGTGTAAATTCGCATAATTGTACAAATAACGGGCTAGAAATACTGATTTTATAAATTTAACAAAATAAATGCATACCGATCGTACACAAAAAATCTGAACTCATACATTCTACATAGCAAACGATTCCCGATTTTTTTTGTACGTGAATCTATGATTTCGTATTTCGTGTGTATTTTCGCTTATGTTCAATGCTAAGCATATTTCAATTTTTCTTCTGAAAATGATATGTAGATCAATAGCGGAATGACAGATTGGACGATTCTCTTCAATGTGAGTGCCATCAATACCAAAATACCAAAAATGAATGTCCACACGTCTAAATTGTACAATTCATAAAACGATAATTCCACGGCAACACTTCTTAAATGTGGAGCGCCTTTATTTTTGGCCACATATTTCACCCAGTGCATTGCTGTTTCCAATGGTGATACAGGTTGATCACGGAATCTATCAGAAATTATCTTAGCTTGCTCCGCAAAACTGCAAAAAGATGTCAAAAATGACTTCTAATTCAAATTGTTTGGGTATACTTTATTCACCTTGAACTACCAAGCACTTTTCTAACAGCCGTAGATATCTTATCTGCGGTTAGAGTTTCGATTGGAATTGAAATTCCAAATCCTTTTTGCTGACTCAAGTGGGCGTTGAGGTGCTGATCAAAAAAGAACGGAATACAGACCAATGGCTTACCGAAATGAACGGCCTCTGAAAATTGAAAACTCATTGATTTCAAGTCATTGGCATAAAATTGAGAATATGTTTCACCAGTTGTGCTCAAAAGACCGCCATGAGTAACGAAAAGTTTGACATTTTTATGAGCCAAAATCGATTGTTGATTGTACCAAGGCTCGATCAACACATCAGTTTCATTATGCGATGGAATAGCGATATGCTCGTCACTTTTGATCAAAATTCGGTAGTTTGGATACAGATGGAAGGCGTTTGCTATAGCGCTCAGCTTTTCTATTGGTAATTTGGTTAATACAACATTAGAACCGAGTGAAATAAATATCGCTCCGGCCTTTGCATCGTCTAAGAATCGTTGGATATTGGGCGATAGAGGTTTGACTGCTTTTTGAATTTGCATACCCGCCACATCAATCATATTTGGTGCATACGGTCGTGGTGTTCCAATTGTTGTGTGGCTATTCAACAAAATCATCGATACATTTCGTCGGATTTCTTCAAGCGATGGCCAATTATTGGCTTCAGAAAATAGGTGTTCCATTGCCTTTTGCTGATCTCGTATGAAATAATACGGCACCACCAAGTCTTCAAACCAATAAGACAACGAATTGTACATGCGTTGCCAGAAGTTCATTCGATCAGTGTAATGATTAGTGAAAAATGGTACATAGGATGCAAAGTTTGGTGAGCCAACTAAGTCGGTTGTCCATTTTGATGCACCAAAGGCTGATATTCCCATGACTGGCGCATTGAAATGATGGCCAATTCCCAATAAAGCGTCAGCAAAACAAATTTCTACCACAATCACATCAAACTTTTGTTTTATTTTCAGGAAATTTTGAAGATTTCGACTTGACATCGCCCAATGCGTAACATTCTTTCCAAGTTCAATATATTTAAATGTTGACTCCCAAAAATACATGTCATTGAAATCAGCGAAATTTGCACCCGCAAAACCTGAAATGTATGTTATTGTTTAGAGAACCGTCGACAATGATTTAAATATGCTCGACACGTTGAAAGGTTACTTTTCCGAGATTCAATCCACGAATTTTCCAGAAAAACTTCGGTATAATTTTCTATGGGATTTTTCTCTTTAAATGGACTTATCACAGTCACTTCGTGACCATTTTCAGCCAATCCTTTCATAAGACTTTGTCCAATGTAGTAATGAGATTTCGATGGAGCGGGCAACACTGCCAGAATTCTATAGCTGCTTACATTTTGATACAAAATACAGAGCAAAAACACTTGAAAAATCGTCATTTTGAAGATATACACCAACTAAAATCTTATAGGCAACTAAATTTAGTGATGCAGTACCTCATTTTATATGAGGCTTATAGAAATCCAAAATTTTACAAATAACCCTGAAAAATGGCTGGAAATTGCAAAACATTTCAGTTTTGCAAAATGAAAGACCTAGACCTATTTTGATAAAATGGGCCCAACGGGAATTTTGTACAATTTTTTATCTGTTTCTTATCATAAATATTTTAAAGGTCTTTATCATGACCTGTATAATGAAGTTTAAACTAACTGTTTAGCTTGTATCATCTTTTTCTTGTTCTTCATTGAAAACGTTTCAAGGAAAAAATTATCAAACCCAGAGAAGCATTTTTTATGCGGAAAATTTTCAAAGAAAAAACAAACATACTGATCATAAAAGCATAAGACAGTCATTGTCAAAGCTTATCTTTATTTGAACACGTGGTTTACAAGAGTAACTTGATTCATGTAATTAATAAAACATGGGACGTGTAGTTAAAAAAAACTTTGTATAGCAAATGATTGACTCGTCTGTGTACCTAAGCATTTTTTAACTTTTGTTGTGAAAATGATTTGAAGATAAATGAACCAATCGATCGAATTAATTTTATCACTCCGAATAGTACCAATGCAAAGACGCCGACAATGAATGTCCACACGTCTAAATTGTACAATTTATAAAATGGTAACTCCACAGCGACACTCTTCAAATGTGGAGCACCTTTATTTTTAGCCACATGCTTGACCCAGTGCATTGCGGTTTCCAACGGAGTCAATGGTTGGTCGCGGAATCTATCTGAAATAATTTTAGCTTGCTCGGTGTAACTGAAAATGATTGGTGGAGGAAAATGAGAATGAAATAAATTCTGGTTACGCGCTTTTCTTCCTATTACCTTGGATCATCAAGCACTTTTTGAACAGCTGTCGCTAAGTTTTCTGCTGTTAACGATACAATTGGCACATTCAAACCGAAGCCCTTTTGTTCAGCCAAAAACATACTAGAATATGATTAAATTGTATTTCTTTAGTATCTTATATAAATAATATTCAAAATCATATTCGTACTAACTTTAGGTGCTGATCGAAGAGACATGAGATGCCAACCACTGGCTTACCGAAATAAACCGCCTCTGAAAATTGGAAACTCGTTGATTTAAAGTTATTCGAATCAAATGTTGAGGTGTATTTTACCGGTTGTACTCAAAAGGCCACCATGAGTAATAAAAAGCTTGACATTTTCGTGAGCCAATATTGATTGTTGATCAAACCACGGCTCAATTAAAACATTCGATTCATTGTGAGAAGGGATGATTATGTTTTCATGGCTTTTTATCAAAATTCGATGGTCGGGATACGAGCTGAACGCACCCACAATCGCATCAAACATCGGTTTTGGCAGCATTTGTAATAAAATATTCGAACCGAGTGAAAAAAAGATCGCTCCACTCTTGGCTTCATCCAGAAATTTCTGAATTTTCGGTGGTAAAGGATCGACTATCTTTTTAATTTGCATACCACCGACTTCAATCATATTCGGTGCGTATGGTCGCGGTGTTCCGATTGTTGTGTGAGTGTTCAACAGAACTAACGACACGTTTCTTCTCATTTCATCAAGCGATGGCCAATTTTTGGCATCAGGAAAAAGGATTTCCATGTGTTTTTGCTGATCTGGTAGGTAGTAATAAAGTGTAATGATATCTTCAACCCAATAGGTCAATGAGTTGTACATGCGTTGCCAGAAGTTCATTCGATCCGTGAAATGGTTATGCGTGTGTGGAACATACGACGCAAAATTCGGTGTGCCAACTAGATCGGTCGTCCATTTCGATGCGCCAAAGGCAGAAAGTCCAATGACAGGAGCATTGAAATGTTGACCAACACCAATTAGAAAGTCACACAGGACCATTTCAACAATAACCACATCGAAATGCTGTTCGATCTTCAAAAATTCGCGTAGATTTTGGCTGGAAAGTGTCCAATTTGCCATTTGGTTTGACAATTGCAAATACTTTGACGACAATAATATACTGGGATATCCCACGAACTTATGTTTTGCTAAATCTGAAAAATGGAGTTTTCGAAATGATTTCTGATTGACTAGATGAAATTCAAAATGTTACATTTTCGAAACTCCGCCCAGTTATGCTCCAGGTGAACTTCTTTATAATTTTCTATTGGATTTTTCTCTTGAAATGGACTGATCACAGTCACTTCGTGACCTTCTTTAGCTAACCCCTTCACAAGATTGTGTCCAATATAGTAATGGGATTTTGATGCCATTGGAAGAATTGCCAAGAATTTGTAAGCAAACACATTTTTGTGAAAAATGCACAATAAAAACAGCACTATAGAAAACTTCATCTTTTTAACTGGATGAATTTCTGGTTTAAGTTATACTAAATCGTGCCTGCCAGAGGTGCGCATTTATATCAAAATTTTAAGAGTAATAATAATCAAGTTTTGAATAAATTACAATTGAGATTTACGTTTTTTTATCCATTAATTTGTAGATTTGATAACCATATATGAAACGAGTACCTCAGAAGGAGTAACGCAAGAGACGCACGTGGATCAAAAGCTACGCCGTCATATTCTTCAAGGCCATTATTATACACAATTGAAAAACATTTGAAACTGTTTTATTTTGTGAAAACAATCGTGTTTTTCAATAGAACATAGTCTTATCTGGGTGATGATTTTCGGGCTTTTTATAATGATTTTGGGGTTTTTTATGACTATTTTCGTCTAATCCATCCTATCTATATCATTTGTACAGTTAAGTGGTAAACAAATATATCCCGACGAGAAATTTGCGGTAAAATAGGTATACGTCGACTATCCGTCGCATATCCGTTTTTGAGTGCGGATACTCGCAATGCGAATAGGTATCCACAATAAAAGTTGCCGCAAAATGTTATCGCTGAATACCCTGCGACTATTCGCGCTGCGATAAATGTGAAGTTGTAACTGGATCGAGTGTGATATTTCGACTTGAAACTTCGTACAACCAACGTGAAGTTGGCTGCGTTCGACGAATTTTTTCGTATTGCGACTATACGTAGAATAGTCGCAATGCGATATTCCGCAAATTTCTCGTCGGGTATTGGTATACGGAAGTACACGGTATTAAATAAATTGAGAATTAAAATAGCATATTAAATGCTCGCCAACGTAGCACAAAAAAAATTACAAACAAAACAAAACATAATTTTGTTTTTCGATTAGTACGAAACATGAGATTTTCTTATCTATCATACTCTCTATGTGACGTCAAGTTTTTTTGGCAAACAAACATGAAAATTGTCTTTTGATTTTTTCGAGTAACCAAATTGTAAATGTTTCGCTTTGTTCGGCGATTTTTTTGTGTCAAGTTTAGACTAAGGTTGAATTTCATATGCCATTTTTATCCTCAGTGGTTCAATTAGAATTGGTTTTCTTCCAGCGCATGTTATGAGCTGATGTCAGCAGCACTGACTGTAATTGTAATACAATACACACCAATGGAGTGCTCTTCGTTTTTATACTGCAAATGCGTTAAAACAACGCAACGCATACTCGTCAGCAGTTGATACCGTCAGTCAGTGCTACACTGACGTCAGTCAGTGTTGCTGACATCAGCTCATAACACGCTCTAATTTTTTTCCTTTACAGACAAACAATACGTTTTTTATCTAGGATTTCTTGACCTTCTGCGTTGTTTTCCCGATAAGTGTGACTGCGACTAGAGCAGTTATGAATTTAATGAGTAAAAAGACGCAAAAAGCAATGACACCAAAAATGAATGCCCACACGTCTAAATTGTACAGTTTGTAGAATGGCAAATCAACTGCAACACTTTTCAAATGTGGAGCGCCTTTATTTTTAGTTACGTGCTTGACCCAGTGCATTCCTGTTTCCAGTGGAGTTAGTGGTTGATCGCGGTATTGATCAGAAATGATCTTTGCTTGTTCGGCATAACTGAAAATGATTGTCAGAGAGTGAAAATGACTTCGAAGTAAAATTTGGTTGCATGATTCTCTTTATCTTATACCTTGGAACACTGAGTACTGTTCTAACAGCCGTCGATATCTTATCTGCGGTTAGAGTTTCGATTGGAATTGAAATTCCAAACCCCTTCTGTTCAGCAAGATGCATACTGGAATAATTTGATTCAATTATTTTTCTATAATCTATTACAAATATTAATAAAAATATCGTACTTCAGCGATTGATCGAATATAAATGGTATGCCGACTACGGGTTTGCCAAAATGAACGGCCTCTGAAATGACAAAAGTCGTTGATTTCAAATGTATGGTTTAAAATGCGAAATGTTTCTATTACCAGTTGTACTCAATAAACCGCCATGAATAACAAATAGTTTGATATTCTTGTGCGCCAAGATCGATTGCTGGTTGAACCAAGGCTCAACCAACACGTCGGACTCCTTGTGCGATGGAATCACAACATGCTCGTCACTTTTGATCAAAATTCGATGATTCGGATACAAACTGAAGGCACCTGTGATCGCTTCCAACTGATCCTTGGGCAATTTTGTAATGAGTACATTCGAACCGAGAGAAATGAAAATCGCTCCGTTGGTTGCTTCATCCAAAAATGTTTGTATTTTCGGAACCAGCGGTGCGATTTCCTTCTGAATTTGCATACCACAAACTTCAATCATATTTGGTGCGTATGGTCGTGGTGTTCCGATTGTTGTATGTGTATTCAGAAGTACCAATGACACGTCTTTTCTGATTTCTTCAAGCGATGGCCAATTTTTTGCTTCAGGAAAGAATAGCTTTTCCATTATTTGCTGCTGTTGCGGTATGTAGTAATATGGTGTGACAACATCCTCAAACCAAAAGGTTAGCGAGTTGTACATACGCTGCCAGAAGTTCATTCGATCCGTGAAATAGTTATACGTGTGTGGTACATATGACGCGAAATTTGGTGTGCCAACTAGATCGGTTGTCCATTTCGATGCGCCAAATGCCGAAATTCCAATAACGGGTGCGTTGAAATATCGTCCAAAAGCAATTAAGTAATCGCTAAGACAAATTTCCACAACAACCGCATCGAAGTGCTGTTTGGTTTTCATGAAATTTTGAAGATTTTTACTGGAGAGCACCCATTTCGATTCTTTATTTCCCAGATCAAAATATTTGAAAATCTTATCCCAAAAGTGCAAGTTACTGAAATCTTCGAAATTATCTTTCGCTGTGTCTGGGCTGGAATTCTAAGAATTCCACCAAAATCGTTCGGAATTATTTTTTTCGTACAGAAGACCATATTGGAGTGAAAGAGAGAGATTCCACTATTTTTCAGCTCTCCACCGGAATTATTCCGATAACTCAAGGAAGAGTGGATTGTGTGAGAAATAATTCCGGTGGGACGCTGAAAAATAGTGGAATCTCTCTCTTTCACTCCAATATGGTCTTATGTACGAAAAAAATAATTCCGAACGATTTTGGTGGATTGACTTAGAATTCCAGCCCTGGAAGCAAAAAAATGAATTTTGTATATGCAGAGATTGCATATTTGCTGCTGAGTAGGCCCGGGCTGAGCTGAATTTGCTAACTCAGGCGCCTTAAGTGTTATTTTAACGCATTCACAGTACAAAATTCATATTCCCAGCCAGATTTGACTTGGAATATGAATTTTGTACTGTGAATGCGTTAAAATAACGCTTAAGGCGCCTAAGTTAGCAAATTCAGCTCAGCTCAGGCCTACTCAGCTGCGAATATGCAATCTCTGTGAATATGACTGTGTTTTTCTATTGTCAGTATTACTTTTTCGTGAATTCTCCCAAACATTTTCAAGAAACACTTCAGTGTAGTTGGCGATGGGATTTTCCTCTTTGAATGGACTGATCACTGTCACTTCATGGCCTTCAGCAGCCAGTCCTTTCATAAGATTGTGACCAATGTAATAATGGGACTTTGATGGGATATGAAGAAATGCCAAAAATTTATAGGCACCCCCATTTTGGTGTAAAAAATACAATAAAGTCAACACTAGGACAAGCTTCATTTTTATCACTGTATGAATTCGCAGTTTTAAGTATACTAGATCAAAAGTGACAAGGGCCCGAATTTATGTCTCTTACTTTTGATTAGGAGATAGCGCTTCTATTCGTACTTGAATTCATCACAAATTTAGAGTGAATAGTCAAAAACACAACCGCTGATAAAATTGTTGCATTATCATCAACGAAACTTACGATTCGAATAATAAACATGCGTATTTCATACGTAGGTCAGAGCAAGCGATTGTGTTGTTCATCAAACATCCGATTATAAAACACGTAAAATTTCATGTAAGTGTGAGCGAGATAGCATGGGTTTTGAGCGTCCGAGGGAACAAGAACGTCGGAGTTCGTTGGACGATAGGTCAATTGGAAGTCATCGATTTTCATTCCTAAGGGTTTCGGAGCGGTGAACACTTTACTTTTGCCGAATCCCGCTTGGAAATCCGAGTTTTGGCCATGTACAAGTTCTTCCATATAAACCAATGTAATTTCACCAGTGCTCCGAGGTTTTCATACAAACTTCCCATGTAGACGGTTCAACACAACCGAAAATCGAAAAAAAAGTTTAAATTTTTCTCGATACTAATACTGTGTTTTGTGTGCCGAATTAGTAAATAACACAAGAGATGTACGTAGATCGATTGACATACATTTAGAACTGTTTTATTTTGTAATTATAATAATAGCGTATAAATTATACAGTTCGTTTGTGGTAAACGAACGAAAATATGGAAATAAATAAATAAAGATACAGAAAATGATACGTCTTTATATCTAGGACTTCTTGACCTTCTGCGTTGTTTTCCCGATAAGTGTGACTGCGACTACAGCAGTTATGAATTTAATGAGTAAAAAGACGCAAAAAGCAATGACACCAAAAATGAATGCCCACACGTCTAAATTGTACAGTTTGTAGAATGGCAAATCAACTGCAACACTTTTCAAATGTGGAGCGCCTTTATTTTTTGTTACGTGCTTGACCCAGTGCATTCCTGTTTCCAGTGGAGTAAGTGGTTGATCGCGGTATCGATCAGAAATGATCTTTGCTTGTTCGGCATGACTGAAAATGATTGTCAGAGAGTGAAAATGACTTCGAAGTAAAATTTGGTTGCATGATTCTCTTTATCTTATACCTTGGATCACTGAGTACTGTTCTAACAGCCGTCGATAACTTATCTGCGGTTAGAGTTTCGATTGGAATTGAAAATCCAAATCCCTTTTGTTCAGCAAGGTACATGTTCAGGTGTTGGTCGAAGAAAAATGGAATGCCAACAATTGGTTTATCGAAATGAACGGCCTCTGAAATGACAAAAGTCGTTGATTTCAAGTGTATGGTTTAAAATGCGAAATGTGTGTAACTGTGCATTACCGATTGTACTCAAAAGACCGCCATGAGTAACAAATAGTTTGACATTCGTGAATCCTCCCAAACATTTTTAAGAAACACTTCAGTGTAGTTTGCAATCGGTTTTTTCTCTTTAAATGGACTGATCACTGTACTTTATGGCCTTCAGCAGCCAGTCCTTTCATAAGATTGTAACCAATGTAATAGGGAGACTTTGACGCAACAGGAAGAAATGCCAGAAATTTATAGGCAAACACATTTTGCTTTAAAAAGCACAATAAAGTTAACACTTGACAAGCTTCATTTTTATCACTGTATGAATTCGTAGTTTAAAGTATACTAGACCAAAAGTGACAAGGCACCGACTTTTGATTAGGAGATCGTGCTTCAATTCGATACAAATTTAGACTGACTAGCCAAATTTGCAGCCGTGGTTAACATTCATCAACGAAGCTTATGATCCTAGTAATAAACATGCGTTAATGAGAGATAATCTTATGAATCACTGTCGAAAACCTCAATGGATTGTCATGCTGAACCAGCTTAGATTTGTGATAAATGTGGCAATTCGTAAAAATGTTCACAATTGCTCTTGTAAAATGTTCGTAATCACAAGATAAGATAAAACACGTAGACGTCTGATAAATCACGTGGTCTGGGAATCATCATTATTTTACAATTTAATAATGTATCTATTGATATAAAATTATTGATTTATTCGTTTTATTGTGGAACTTTAAATGATTTTATGCATGTTCACAAATGTACTAATTAAGTAAACGAGAGAATCGCCTCAATCACTGTGCTTATGGCCAATATAAAACGTGTTAAAAATCAATCGTGTTATTATTCTTTTGAATTTCTGTGTTGAATTTGGACCAAATATGAGTTTCAGTTGTAATTTAATCACTTTGAGTAGTAATAAGACACACAAAGCAACAGTGCCAAAATGAATGCCCAAACGTCTAAATTGTAGAGTTTGCAGAACGGCAAATCAACTAAAACCATCTGTGTTTTGCAAGGAACTGGAGCTAATAGTGTTTTTGATCCACATTTATAGTAAATCGGAATGTTAGTTAATAAATTATTGGTTATTAGTATTATTATGGTGCTAGCTGCTAGATTCAAGTAAAACGTATCAGAGCAATTGATATGGGGTTTGATTGATAATAGTTTGAAACAGGTTTCAAAATGTGTTGTAATGATTAAACATTTAAATGCGTAAATTTGAAATGCGTGTTGAAAGTCTTAAACTGGTTCCGAAGTGCGTTACAAATATATTCAAATTCATCACACGTCAATTTGTAATTTAAGTTAGATTCAAGTTAGAAAGAAATGACATCAAAAAATTGGAGTCTGACTATGAAGCGATTGTTGATCGTTTAGCCGAACACATCAGTCAAACGTTTCATACGTTGTATGTCACGCTTCGCTTTTATGCGGCAATTGGAAATTGATCGGATAGTCATTCACACTAACGTAAACAAGCGAAGCATACAACGTATGAAGCGTGTGGCTGATGTGCTTGCGTATTGCAGCAATTCCGATAGGCATGCTGAGAATCATCATTCTAGATCACAATTATACTACCTTTTTGTCATACAATGTTTAGAATTGCATTCATTTAGTCGGGAAGCATTATTCTAAGGAACGTAGTGCTCCAAATAGATAAATGAAGTACCGAAATCTTGCTAAATATCTACTTATCTATCGCAAATGAGATGCATTTAAAGAAAGAATAACAATGGAAAGAGCCATTGAACGTCTTTTTCTCGTATTTAATCACTCAGTGAGTAAATTAATTGCGACCACAATTATTAGTCTGCAGTGTAATTGGGTAAAATGATCGCGTGCTATCAAATTACCATGTCTGCTTGGCAGTTAAAAGTGCAATAATATTCAGTTATTATTCATCATCATTTGTTTTTATTTTATTGGTCGTAAAATTTGCATTGCTCGGTCCAAAAAGACCGATGAATAGATGGAAATTATAATTGCTATGGAGACATGTCTCCGATTTGCGCACAGTCTTTTCTACATTTGTTTTAGTTTTCTTGGTGAATTTGAAGAAAGAACATACTCGATAAGAAGGCGAACCACCTTGATCACACTGTATATTGCCAATGCAAAGACACCAAAAATGAATGCCCAAACGTCTAAATTATAGAGTTTGTAGATTGGCAAATCAACTGCGACACTTCGAAAATGTGGGGCTCCTTTATTTTTAGCCACATGCTTCACCCAGTGCATTCCGGTTTCTAATGGAGTTCGAGGTAAATCGCGGAATCTATCCGATATCAACTTCGCATTTTCAGTGTAACTAAAAATTGATGCCAAATTTCGATTAAAATCCAGACATTTTCAATCGATTTCGTTATGTTACCTTGGTATTTCAAGTACTTTCTTCACAGCGGTTGCTATATTTTCCGCGTTCAAAGTTTCGATCGGCACACTAATACCAAACTGCTTTTTCTGGGCCAAAAACATACTAGAAAATGATTAAAATTCGTTGGGATATTATAAAAATATTCAAAATCATATTGTTATTCGTTACTTGAGGTGTTGATCAAAGAAAAATGGAATGCCGACAACGGGTTTGCCGAAATGAACGGACTCTGAAAATTGAAACCTCATTGTTATCATGTCACTTTTTTATCGATTTGAGCATATGTTTTACCGGTTGTACTTAGAAGACCGCCATGAGTAATGAATAACTTGACGTTTTTATGGGATAATATGGATTGTTGCGAAAACCATGGCTGCACAAGAACATCTGATTCCTTGTGTGATGGAATCACAACATTTTCATCACTTTTGATTAGGATTCGGATGTTCGGATATGGTTTGAACGCATTGACAATGGCATTGTATTGATGCTCTGGCAGTTTTGTTATCAGCACATTCGAACCGAGCGAAACGAAAATCGCTCCATCTTTGGCTTCGTCCAAAAACGTTTGAATTTTCGATGGTAATGGATCTTCCGGTTGAATTTGCATGCCTCCGACCTCGATCATGTTCGGTGCATACGGTCGAGGCGTTCCGAGTGTCGTGTGAGTATTTAACAGCACAAACGATATATTTCGTCTGATTTCGTCGAGTGACCAATTCTTGCCTTCAGTGAACAATTGTTCCATAAGCTCTTGTTGTTTCGGTATAAAATAAAGTGGATATGCTAAGTCTTCGAACCAATAACACAGAGAATTGTACAATCTTTGCGAGAATGTCATTTGATCGGTGTAATGATTGGTAGTATATGGCACATATGACGCGAAATTCGGCGAACCAACCAAATCAGTCGTCCATTTCGATGCGCCAAACGCTGATATTGCTACAACGGGAGCATTGTAATACTTTCCGAATGCAAGCAAGGCTTCGTCAACACAAACTTCTACCACGACCACATCAAAAGTTTGATTTATTTTCATAAATTCTCGTAAATTTTGACTTGACAAAGTCCAATTTGTCATATCCAGTCCAACTTCAAAATATTTAAATGCCATATCCCAGAAGTACATATTGGAGAAATCCACAAAATTGTCTTTTGCCATGGCTAAAAAAGAACAAAAAACACACTGAAAACTCTGGCACATTTTGTGAAATTGATGTGATTAAAGTTTACTTTTGCGAGATTCCACCCAAGAGTGCTCAAGAAAAACTTCTTTGTAGTTTTTAATGGGGTTTTTCTCTTTGAATGGACTGATTACAGTCACATCATGACCCTCTAACGCGAGTCCTTTCAACAGATTATGGCCAATGTAGTAATGAGACTTTGATGGTACTGGAAGTACTCCCAAAAATCGATAGCCACTCACATTTTGATATAAAATACACAATAAAAGCAACACTTTGTACAGCCTCATTTTCTTGTCTCGTACACAAAAATAACAAACGGAAACCAATTGCGTTTCGCGATGAACTGAAGCAAATAGTTTAGGCGGAAGGCATTTATAGTCATTCAAAATGTTGGTTAATCCAACTGATGTCAGTTTAATGTCAAATCAAAGCAATTAATGACACATGATAAATATGAATCAAGTTTATCGCACTGTGTTTTTTAGATAAGTTGCCAATTCGTTGCATGACAACGCAACGGCTTTTTTATGATTGATATCTTATTCAGAAGAAAAAAATAAACGACATTGCCTGAGATATAAAGTGTTTTTTCATCGAATCGAAGTAATGTTACAAAGATTGAACTAACAAACGAATAAATGTATAAATAATTGTAAACAGCGTAATTGTACAATGTACAATTTGTACTGTACAGTGAGTGAACGGTTTCTGTATATCAAAGGTTGATGGTGTGACATAGGCAACACATCAGAATCAAAACTAATGTGTACAGTTTGCATACGAAAAAAGTATGTATGAATGGTATCTATTGGTATTGGAAGATTTATTAATATGCAGTGTCATTGAGTATAACGATCAGATTGTTCTATGTAGTATCATCTCTGCTTGGTAGTAAACAAAAGTATAATCATTTTCAATTTTTATTTCTCTATCGAGAAAAAACTTTATAAACTTTGATATCTATATATCTCCCCAAAACCCCCTTGGCTACGCCACTGGTTTGAAGCATGTTAGAGAACACCTTCTTCCGGGTCCCAGGTTTCCCAAAGTTTTTCGAATTTTTTGTTTTGAAAATAGCGGATTTTCATTTTTTCTCTGAGTTTGTTATTCAATTTGTGAGAAATAAATAAAGTTGGTTTTAAAAAATTTAGACAAATTTAAAAATTCCCAATTCACATATAGACCAAGAGCTGTTGAACAAAGTACTTACTTACAAGCTTCATGTCAGATAATGGAATTGTAGGTGCATATTAATAGACCGAGAAATTGCATATTAATAGAAGTGCATATTAATAGAACAGAAGTCCATGATGAATTTTTCTAATGAGAGCCCACGTAGAAAATACTATATGATCGTATGTCGATATTAAAGCCAATATTCGGAATATTTATAATTTTCTTCTTTATCTTTTGCACTTTACGATATCTTGCCGCCGATATCAATAAAAAAATATGCTTAACTTTTTTCACAATTTGCATGTCAGATATTTTGTGTACAGCTAAATTATCACAAAATTAGTTCAAATCCAAAATATCAGCTCAAAATATTTTGCACAATACTTTTTATTCCATTCTGAAATATCACTCTATGTCGTTTTTCTCCACTTTGACATTTCGACATTTTCTTCATCGAAATGAGTGAGACTTCAAAGTGAAATAAAAAGTGTTGTGCAGAACATTTTGAGCTGATATTTTGAATTTGAATTACTTTCGTGGCAATTTAGCTGTACACAGAATATTTTTGTGTGGATTTAGCAGTATACAAAAAATCTGACATGAAGCTTGAGCGAAAAGTGCACCAAAATTTTTTCTTGTTATCGGTGAGCAGATATTGTGATGTGTATCAAATGAAGATGAAACAATATGATATTTTGAATATTGGCCTTAATGTGCACCTACAATTTCATTATCTGACATGAAGCTTGTAAGTAAGTACTTTGTTCAAAAGCTCCTGGTCTAATATATTCAGACAATGTCTGTAAAAATGAAGAAGCGAAATAGAACCCATAGAAAAACGAGAGCGACCCGCGCGCGAGTGGAGGTTCCATGGGTTCTATTTCGCTTCTTCATTATAACAACGCATTGTCTGCATATATGTGAATTGGGAATTTTTAAAGAACCTCAATATTTTTGCTACTCACTGACGTTTGTACTTTAGCTGTTCTTGAGCCGCGTACTTTACATCTGTGTGTTCGTACTTAATAATCGTATTTGTACATTCGCATTTGAAGAGCACATGCATTCGCAAGCATTTGCGTGGACGAGAGAAAACAATATAAATCGTAAAGCATTCATCTTCATATATCGTCCACATATCTGTGATAAAACCGAGGCAATTTTCCATCGCGTTTCATAAGCCGACATCGACAAAAAGGATCATTACAAGCGACTCCTTTTGTCCAATTAAACACAAGCATGCGGCGTTCCATTCGTTAGAGCACAGTCAATTTGCCACTCTCGGTAGGCGCATTTGTAAAGGAATATAGATATATTCTTGATGTGGCCGTGTCTGGAAGCAAAAAATGAATTTTGAATATGACTGTGTTTTTCTATTCTCAGTATTACTTTTTCGTGAATTCTCCCAAACAAGAACACTTCAGTGTAGTTGGCGATGGGATTTTCTGCTTTGATTAGACTGATCACTGTCACTTTATGGCCTTCAGCAGCCAGTCCTTTCATAAGATTGTGACCAATGTAATAGTCAGACTTTGACGCAACGGGAAGAAATGCCAAAAATTTGTAGGCATCCACATTTTGGTGTAAAAAGCACAATAAAGTCAACACTAGGACAAGCTTCATTTTCGAATGAAACAACTAATTGATGAACTGATTGCTCGAATCATATTTTATAAAACTTCCAAAAAAGAGAAATTTATTGCATAATCGTCGAAACAAAAAAAAAATTCCTTAATTCGATTTTAATTCATACAGTCTCGGCGAAATGTCTCGAAGCGATTGGCTTCACACGTTGATTTTGTTATCAGTGCAAAGTTTTAACATAAAAAAACAATTCTAAGACTTTAACACGTTCGTACAGGTTTTCTGTTGTATGACAAAAACTGGATTTGTGGTTGTCAACTAATTGATTTACTAGATGAGCAAACGATAACTTTAAAAAAATCAGTCTACAAAATATTGAGTTTATTGACAGTCTGTCTATAATTAACAGTACTGTTTGAGAATGGGAAGAGAATAGTGTTGCGTTCACATTTTGAGTAATAAATATTATCATGCACGAATCACTTCTGTGTAAATATTGTAAGCTTTCTATACCTAGAATAGAGATATTGATATGATAACTTATTCTTATATAAGATAAATTGGAATTTCTTTCGTCTTAAAATAATTCGGGGAAAATAAATCGTCCGTATGGATTTCGAGAAAAGTAACAGCAAAAAATAGATTAGGCATAAATCAGTCATGATTCAGTTCAGTCAAAACATGTAATTTCAAATTTTATAATGATCTGATTTGTATATATATATAAATATGATATGAGTGTTCTTTGTGTTCGTACAGAAGTAGATAAGTATCCGCTGATTTCTTTTCATAACGTAATATACATGATTTCCTTCAATTCTATGATTGTTTGACCTTGTGCGTTGATTTCACGCCAAACAAAACAAATACTAGGGCTCTTATCAATTTAGTGAGCAAAAAGACACAGAAAGCGATAACACCACAAATGAATGCCCACACATCTAAATTATACAGCTTATAGAAAGGCAATTCGACGGCGACACTTCTCAAGTGTGGAGCACCTTTATTTTTGGCCACGTGCTTGACCCAAAACTTTCCTGTTTCCAATGGTGTTAGCGGCTGATCTCGGAATCTATCGGAAATTAGTTTCGCTTGCTCGGCATAACTGCAAATTGACGTCAAATATTTAGTGAAATTCCAATTTAAGTTACGCATATAATCGTGTACACCTTGGATTACTGAGCACTTTATCAACAGCTGTCGTTATTTTGTCAGCCGTTAGCGATTGAATTGGTACGGATTGAGCATATCCTCTTTGTTGAGCCAAATACATACTGGAATAATGTGATATTTTAATATATCATAAACAATTTCCAAAATGCTATTTTTAATTCATTACTTCAGATATTGATCGAAAAAGAACGGAATTCCAACCAGTGGCTTGCCAAAGTGAACAGCCTCTGAAAATGGAACACATTGATTGCAAGCAAATCGTATATGGAATTCGAAATGTGTGTATTACCAGTTGTACTCAATAGGCCGCCATGAGTAACAAATAATTTAATATTCTTGTGTGCCAAAATCGATTGCTGGTTGAACCAAGATTCGACCAACACATCCGCTTCCTTGTGCGATGTAATGACGATGTGCTCATCACTCTTGATTAAAATTCTATAATTTGGATATGCTTTGAATGCATTTGTAATTGCGTTGAGCTTTTGTTCTGGCAACTTATTTATAAGAACATTTGATCCAAGTGACACAAAAATCGCACCATCTTTGGCTTCATCTAGAAATGTTTGTATTCTCAGAGCCAGCGGTTCGATTTCTTTCTGAATTTGCATGCCACCGACCTCAATCATATTCGGTGCATACGGCCGTGGTGTTCCGAGCGTCACATGAGTGTTCAACAGAACTAGCGACACATTTCGTCGGATTTCCTCCAGAGATGGCCAA